CAGGGGAGCGCGCGGCGCTGCCGAGCCCCCGCCCTGCCCGTTGGGCCGGCGCCATCTAGCGGTGGCACCGCGGGAATGGCGCGGAGACCTCGGGGCCGCCGGTTCGAGTCCCGCCTCGGCCCGGCCCGCGGCTCCTCACGGGGTGGGCCGGGTTGGAGCGGCCGCAGCGGGGCACAGAATCACGGAATCACAGCATCAAAAGACCTCTGAGATCATCGAGTCCAATCTGTGACCCCACAGCACCAAGTCACCCAGACCATGGCACCTAGTGACACGTCCAGGCTCTGCTTAAACACCTCCAGGGACGGTGACTCCACCACCTCCCTGGGCAGCCCATTCCAATGTCTGATCACTCTCTCCGTGAAGAATTTCTTCCTAATGTCCAACCTAAACCTCTCCTGGCACAGCTTACAACTGTGCCTTCTTGTCCTATTGCCTGGGAGCAGAGCCCAAGTCCCCCCCTCGCTGCCCCTTCCTTTCAGGGAGTTGTAGAGAGTGAGGAGGTCTTCCCTGAGCCTCCTCTTCTCCAGGTTGAACACCCTCAGCTCCCTCAGCCTCTCCTCACAGCACTTGTGCTGCAGTCCCTTCCCCAGCCTCGTTGCCCTTCTCCGGATCTGCTCCAGCCCCTCAACACCCTCCCCAGACTGAGGGGCCCAGAACTGGACACAGCACTCGAGGTGTGGCCTCACCAGCACTGAGTCCAGGGCCAGAATCACTTCCCTGCTCCTGCTGCCACACTGTTCCTGATCCAGGCCAGGATCCATTGGCCTTCTTTGGCCACCTGGGCGCACTCTGGCTCATGTTCAGCTTCCTGTCAATCATCTGGTCCCACCTCCCTGCTCAAGGAGGGTCATCCCAGAGCACATGGCACAGGGTTACATCTGGAATATCTCCGGTGATGGAGACTCCACACCCTCTCTGGGCAGTGTGTTCCAGTGCTCGGTCACTGCACAGGGAAGTTCTTCCTCATGTTCAGATGGAACTTCCTGAGCATCAGTTTGTGCCCATTCCCTCGTGTCCTAGTGGTTGTCACCAACCTGGTCCATCTTCTTGGAACTCTCCTTCACATATTTATCCCCAGGCTCTTGGCCCCTGATCCCACCAGGATCCACTCCTGGGTATCATCCCCAGGCAGTGCTGGGCCAAAGTCCAGGCACAGAGTGTCCCGTGGGCACAGGGAACACCCACCCTGGCTCCCTTTCCACAACTTCCACCTCTTGGCAGAGGCTTCCCAAGATTTGTGCTGGTGCTTTGCACTGTGGAGCAAATTCCACACTCAGAATCTTGGAGCCTTTTTAAAAAGATAGGCAGGTATTGGGAATGCTGGCATTAATATTTAACGCAGGCATTACTGCTCTCACTAGTCCCACAGCCATCCTCTCTGCCAAAGCAGAACATACTCCAAAATGCAGTTTTTTTCATGCCCAGATACATATTGTGCAGTTCAAGAGGATGAAGTAGGTGGTTACTCTGTTACTATATGCACAGATTTGCAGAAGGACTGTGAGATTATTCAGAATTAAGATGCTACAGTGACAGTGAAAGCTATTTTTAAGAGATATTTGGAAAGTATATGCATCCTGTTAATCTTCTCATATTACACATTAATTTTCTATGCAGTGCCTTGCATGTAGAATGGAAAATTTTAAGTTACTATATATACGCAGAATTTTTTGACTGAGGAGTTAAAATGAAAATACAAACCAGTGTAAGGCACCTGGAGTAAAAGGAAGGCCTGAATGTCTCAGTTAACGTGACATTCACACTAAAATATGATACGTTGGTGCAACAGCAGCACGATGCATCACAACTGTGCAACATGATGATGTTTCAAAGGCCCTGCAAATTATTTCAGGACTCCTGAACAAGACGAGCGACAACCTCCTGCAAATGTCTTGATGGAGTAGGAGGAAAGAAGGACACTCTATAAATAAACTTATCATATAAGTTAAAAAAAAAAAAAAAAGCCAGGCTGGGTATTTTCACCAAAAGAAACTTTGAAGATTTACTCACACTGAGCCTATTTTTGCATGTCAGTGTAGGCAAGCAAGATTCTTCTTTTCATCTAAATAGACCCAGAGTATTTTTAACGCAGGGGATTCGTTCCCTCGCTGCTCGTCGAAACACGGCAGCTGGGGACGGAGCGGGATCGGGGGAGGGCATGGGGAACCAAACCCCCTTCCGAGGGGAACAGATGGTTTTCTCCGTGGTGGCTGCACATGAGGACCATGGCAAGAGGAGGATTCACTCCAAACATGCTCCTCCAAGGCCGCCCAGGGCCACACCAAGACCTCGGAAGTTCCGGCGCCGCTGCCGTCGTTAGCGCGATTATCGTCCCGCATGGAGAGAGGTTGGGAAGTCACCAGTTCTGAAGGAGAAATCCCAGGCTTTGAAGGAAATAAAAGAAAGCATTTGGCATTAATACACAAGAGCTGGTGTGGTTTTACCTCTAAGAGGGAACAGAATCGTGGGATTTGGTAGAGGGAATGAAATCCAGCACGATGGCTCAGTGTGGCCTTGAGGTGCTTTTGAGTTTCCCCATTGATTTCAGGATGACATCGAGTTTTCCCTGGCTGGAAATCCATTTCTTTAGCCTCAAACAGCACAGCTCAATGTCTGGGAGAGAAGATCAGTGTCTAACACTGGCTTTGGCACTGATTCACCACCCAGATTGGAGGAACCCAGCCTGTGTGTCTCAGTTCGGGATCTGGTTCCTTGGGCCTGACATATTCACCACAATAAATCCTTCTACAGGATCCCAGCACAGTCAAGTGCAGAACACAGTTTTCCCAGTAAACCCAAACATTACTAAAACATCAACAAAAGAGGAAAGAAAACTAACACATCAGCTAGAGAATTTTTAAGCCATACCTGTGCTGACTGGGAGCCACCACCTTTCCCAATTCCACGTACGGCCCTACAGAGCAGGAAGACACGATGGAGAACACTCATATCCATGCTTGGCAAATTTTGGACCCTGGACATCACTTGCCCTTTGAATACTGTACGTGCTCTCTGGGAAATAAAGCCTCCTGGAAAACGGGGAGGAGGCAGATGAAAACAAAGCATTGTGGAAAAAACGCTGTTGAAAATAGGCTTTGTTTTGTGGATGGGTTTTTACAGAGTTCTCATCTCTGCAACTTCCAGAAGTGCATTAAGCTGCATAATTAGCATCTGTCACATGTAGCCTTTCCCTTCCCTCTTCCTCTCCCTAGAGGGAAACTGCATGGAGAATTTTTAATATAAATTTTAGTATCTACACTGTGCAGTGCAATCATATTAGGAAAGCTACAGGCAAGTCAGTTTGTGCTCAATCTTAGGTTTATCTTTGTGTAATAGAAACTCCACTGGTTAAAAAAAACCTGCAGCTGCTCCAATT